CACTTTTAAATAAACTTAGAGCAAATACAAGTGTAAAACTCAACCATTGCTTTTTATGGTCTTGTCTCCTTTTAATTTAAAACTCTTCTGTCTAAGAAACAATGGCACATAGAAAGTGTTTCTGCAGTGGCAAAGAAAGTGAAGACACATATTTGAAATAGGGAAAAATCTGAATTTGCTCCAAAGTTACGCTCCCCGCTGCATTTGGCACTCCTCCCCTTTCGCTCTTTCTCTGGTTCAGGTGCTGCTGCCTCCAGCAGCGGTCAGGCATGGCATGGGGAGTGAGGTAGATGTTGGAAGTCATCCTGGAAAGTCCTTAGAAATGAGCTAGGACACAAGACTTCAGGCACTGTCCCACTGAAGCGTACAGACAATCTGACTCTTAAACTGACAGACTCTCTTTTCCTCTTTTAGGACTGGAGAAATCCCTGTAAAGCCTTGTTCTGTTCATTTTTAGTCATCCCCACCTTTTTAAATTACAAAATGTCATCTTAAAAAAATTGGAGGGGAGGGGAGGTTCTCTCAGTCACAGAATCCAGGCTACAAAACTTCAGCAAAATCCACAAAGTATTGAAAAAATTGAGCACTGGAAGATCAGTATCATCTGCAAGGTTGTACAGGTCCTTGTCTTCCCCCACAGCCCCTGTCCTGCCCCTTCCTCCCACTGTGGAATTCCTCTCTGGTTTTACATCCCGATGGGAGTACAGCTTCTGTCTGGAAACACAGAAGATTATACTCACTTTTAAGCAGATTTTTTTAAGAGCTTTATGATGGGTCCCTCTCCTATTCACGGGTATTCTGCAAATGGAGATCCTTGAAGCGGGGTCTTTGACATGAGCGTCTTCCATCCCCAACTGTGAAAGGTACTTAGAGAAAAATTTCTGTCTGCTCTTCAGAGAAACCTTATCCTAAGGATTTAGTTGAGGATGGCACTCATGGCGTTAGATGCAACCAGGCATGACTTGCAAATATTAACCTATTAAAGCAATTCATTCATTTCCTCCAGCAAATGATGCAATTAAAAATGTGCCTAGGGAATGTTATAAATATACATCTATGACTTGACTTCTCTTCCCAGGGATCTCTGGCTAATCCCTAGTGAATAACCCGTCTCTAAGCTGAAACCACCACATGAAAATGAACAGCCAAATATTTTAAACTATTGCTTTTTATTATAATTACACTGGAGCACAAATAAATAAGCACTAAATTATTGTAAAATATTGTCAATGCACTAAAGAAAGCAGAATTGATCTCTAAACAACATCTTATTACTTCAGAAGTATCAAAGTACATTTAATTACATCTTACCTAAAAAAATCAAGTACAAAAATGAAAAGAAAATTAATATGTATTTATACTGTGTATATAGAAACGGCTAATAATATATGATTACAGTTAGCCTCTAGCTACTCCTTACTCCTACACAATCTCAGGCACATACCTGACAATTTCTAACGAAATATGAAAAAAAGCAACATGACATTCAATTTCAAGATATTGGTAAATGTATTACATTGGAATGAACACAGAATGATTTCATTTTATTTAAAAACCCTGTCATTTAAAAACATAGTGCCATTGTCCACTTAAAAATAAACAATCCAAACCAAAAAACCCCATACCATTTTATACCATTTGCTTTAATTTGTCAAAAGGAGCAATAAAGTAGACATACATTGGCTAATATACGTAAACACATTTTTAGTGCAAGAATAACAAGACCTGTGACTTTACTGTGCTTTCTTGAAATCACAGTGCACTTTACACAAATTGCTACACTATAATGTTTAACCTCAGGAGTTTAAAGCAAAGTAAGTGCATACCAAACAATTTCATATATACAGTCTTCGTAAGTGTGTGTATATATGTGATCTGTATGTATATACAGATTGCATATTTATACAGACTACAGTTTTAATGACCGTGTGTAACTAAGCACTGTCATTCACCCTGTGACACAGAAACTGCTGAGACAATAGGTGATGTAGAAAATGTTTAAGAGCATTTTGACGGCACGCTCTCGGCAGTATGATGCACCTTTTAGTCGGGCGATGGGGTGGGCCAGCAGTCGCGGGCCAGGATGGGTCGCATGTCTTGCTCTGGCTCTGCCCGTGACCTTTGGAAACTACTCCACCTGAGCCTCACTTCCCTCCTCTGTAAAATGATTCTGGCAAGCGTGAGGTTTAGTTCACATTGCTAAAGTGCTTTGAAGGTAAGTGCTAAGTTATATTTTACTTTTTCATGTACTGTCGCACTTTAAAAGAAAAAGCCATTGTTTCCATGGGATACAATGGAGGTCTGGAAGCACATGGGCAGTTATCGAGGAAGGACAACATAAACAGTGTTGAGCAATAAAAGCAAAACGAAGAGTGGTTTTATGGTGGGCTAAGTGTACAAGCAAGTCTGCTTAGGACAAGAATGCTGCAATTCCCTGATCATTATTCCGATTCTGTATTGATATGAAAAGGACACCATATGAACAAACACTATTAAACACGCAACTGTTCACATTAACGTTTGCCTTCCCCCAAAGGGCCCGGCACTGCAGCGCCCGTGCGTACCCACGGGTCTGGACTGCAAAATCGATGCATTGGTAGTAGGGTTTTTAAAGTAATTGCTCCAGGAAGAGACCAGTGCAGAGAAGGGCTATCGAGACTGACTGGACGCTGGCTTTCGTTTGCACCAGAGACTCAGTGCAGTTGGGGGAAAGGGTTGAGCTAAGTATTTCACACGTGGTTATGAAAAATTCTTCTCTTGCCACATAACAAGGAAGACAAAGCATAAACACTTTCTGAATAATGAACCTGTTATCTCAACAGATTTCTCACGACCAACAAGTCGTCTTCTTTCCAGCAGATTCTGGAACTTTGCGAGATCTCTGGAGTTTTTCTTCTACCATTTTCTTTCTTTAAAAAAAGAGAATAAGCAGAATATACAGTTGGTGTCTTTTGGATGTACCACGAATTCAAAGATTCCTTCATAGCCTCTGGGTTTTTTTCATGTCTTCTGTCATTTCGGCTGTGAGGGGCTCTTTAAATCTGCATTTCAATTGCGTACCCATTCCAGCCACTGTATATTCATAACACACACCAATTTAATGTATGTGGGTATATACGTATGCACACATCTATGAGTATATATAGAGGGATACATGCATATATACATATATATGTGTGTACACATATGCATATATACATATACAATAATGCTAATATACATACACACATATAAACACACACTTTATCTTTTACAGAAATCTCAGTTTGGACATCAAAATATACATTAGTTAATTAGTTATAAAATATTTAAAAACTTTATTTCAGAGGCTGAAAAGAAACTACTACTGATAAAGCATTACTCAAACTCAAACTTTAGCAATATAGATTACAAAAACCTTCTAAAATTTGTTATTTTTGGTTTTTTTGATCAGCAATTACAGCTGTGGCAATGCTGTCAATAGAATTTCAAAGAAAAGCCAATATAACAAGAAGTTTCAAACAACACACCTTTTCTTCTTGGCGAATACAATATTAAAATGATTGTTTTAAAGAGGGACTTTTGTGCTACCAAACTTCAGACGCATAGATAGACATTTAAATATACAAAATATATGCCATGGATCTTTCTTCCCCTACTCCACAGCAGTACAAGTTTCCCTCATTCTCAACAGATCCTTTTGGAAGATACTTCACCGCATGGATTTCACCCTCATAATCAGCATAAGCCATCTCTTTCTCCCGTTAAAACCAGGAGGTCATAATTCTTTGGTCATGACATAATATTCTGTTAAAATGGGTGTAATATAATACAGGGTTGCAAGCCAATTACAGAAGCAGCCAGGAAGAAGGAACGGCATACCCGGGAGAACGCGTTACGTGGGCCTCTGCTTCAAAACCGCATGAAATCAAGAGGGATTTCCCTACTGGCTTTCAAGGGGTCTGAATTCCAGCCTTTATAAGTAACACAAGGAAATCTGACACAGCGTAAAGTAAGGATGTGTTGCTGGATTTAAAAATAATAAACATGTAAACAGATTTTGTCGCCTTTATTTTCTGGACCAAAGACAAATATGGACAGGAACTGTGGCTGCAGTGCCACTGCCTTACCCTGCCAAGCGACCGGGTCTCTCCGTCACAGGCTGTACAATGCTTAGTCACAGTGAACCATGGTCTCTGCTAGTCAGCTGAATATAGCGAAGGAAGGGTTTCTGCTGCAGGCTCTTCTGCAGAAAATTTAGCTTCTTGGCCAAATAATTTTAGTAACTGATTCATATAAAACCAAGGGCAATTGATCTGGCTAACTTTATGGGAAAACTGATGCAGAACAATTAATATTTTAAATGCAACTTGGGCATCCGCATTAAGCACTTTTATTTGCATTGCTTGCAGTTTTGCTGTTTCCCACCAAAACTCTCTCCTTTGTCCAGCCTCCCCCCGCCCCCAAAGCTAAGGACATCCAAGTACGACTCTAGGTAACCTCTACAGCCCTAGCACCGAGTTGTTTTGTACATTGTCCTGTTCAACAAAATGTACAACCACATGCTTTTGTACAGAGGACAAATCTAGGCAGGTAAGAGAAATAAAATGGTGGCGGCAGGGAGGGGGAGGGAACATTAGAATACCACATAGAAAATAGGTAATAAAACAGTATAACAGTAACATTATATAGTAAAATTCTTCATAAAGTTTTGATTTTTTTTAATATATATATATATTTAAACAGTGTATTAGTTTGGGTGTTTTCAATATATTGGCGAAATATTTACATTTTCGTATCTTCTGGATTCAAAAAAATCCTGGATAAATATGTATGCCTTAATCCAGTTGGAAACTTAAATCTCTCTCTTGATTGACAGGTGAGCACTCTGTCGGTGTGGTTTTTCCCTAGGAAGTTCACCACCTGCAGGTAAGTCTTAGGTTAGAGCCTTTGCCTTATTAAGAAAGCAGGCTACCTGTGCACGGTGCAAGACAGTGGAGAGGGCATCCTCCACAAGCCTGTCAAATTGCAGTGTCCCAGAAAACAGTCTGTTGTTTGGAATAAGGAGGAGGGCTGTATTTCTTGGTCCCGGTATTCTTTTTCCAGCTCGGCAAAATAGGCATGCTGTCCTGTTTGCAGAGTCCTTTTTCTGATTTCTGTCGAGCTTTTATTTCTTTGCAGAGGCAACGTTTTTTCTCAATCATATCCAGCATTGTATGGTCCCCTTGCAGCCACTGCATGCACGTCACCTATTAGGGACAGGGGGAGAAAGAAAAGAAGGAAAAAGAAAAGAAGGAAAAAAAGCGTACAAATAACTATTTGGCCCCAGATTGAATATATTGTTTCTCTGCAAGGCTAACATTACTCTTATTTGAAACATTCTAATTTGTTTGATGAACAAAAAATCTCTATGCCAACAACAGAAACAAAGCCAGTCTCTACTTCAACTACTACTTTAAGAAATAAAAGGGTAATAAAAGGTCCCGTTTTTAACTTCTCTGGAGCACTGAAAGCTAATGAAGATAAATGTTTTTGGCAAACTAGCACTGGTTGGACTTTAAATGATGGAATAGATCTTAAAAAGGCACATGGATCTTAACAACGTCCTTAAGTTGTGGAAATAAAAAATTCTATACACTGAAACTCATGTTGTATTTTGCTTTCCAAATCCAATCTGTCACATTAAAAGTGTGGTGTTAACACTTCTGAGTATCAAGCTAAATATAACTCTGTGTTTAATTTTTTAAAAATTATTTAATGAACATATGAATTATATGGGTTAGCCTATCCTATTCTGTGATGATATTTCATTAACTGGAAGGCACCAGGAGTTTAGAAACGCCATGTTTTCATGCATGTAGAATATTTGAAAACACAATCCTGATCCAAAAAAGGAGGTTAGCATATGTTTAGTTGTAAGATCGTGTCACAGCCTCTCTGAAGCCTGAGAATTTGGCTTCATTTG